GAAGTAACATCTACTTAATAAGGTTGTTCTCAGAATTAAAAGAAAAAATGCATGAAAAAATGTTCAAAATTGTACTTAACACAAAGTACATGTTCAAACAAATTAGTCATAGCATTTTTCTAAAATCTGATGTGCTTAGGATTATTTATTTATCTACTAAGTCAATATAAAATTTCTGACCTGGCTCTTAAAACAATTCCATCTCCATTTACATGTAACGTTAGATCTCCCACTACCTTATTACCTAAACCTCCTCCAATCCAACTGGTCATGGTTTCACTAACACTACCTAGGTTTCAAAACTCCACTCTTGCACCTGCACACAAACCACTTCCTCCATCCACAGCGCCTATTTCCCATCCAGGCTAACTCCCTTCAGGGCCTAGTCTAACTATGACCTCCACTGCAGAGGCCTTCCCTTCACAGATCACTAAGACTGAAAGTGTCCCCTTTCCTCCTCTCCTACCCCCAGCCCCTTCCACATATCACTGGTCTATTACATGGCCCTTACATACTTACTGAACTACAACAGTTACAGTTATCCTATCTCCCTCCCCTACTAGAGCACAAACTCTTACATGAAAGGCATGGTTTAAAAACCTGTAGCATTTGACACTGTTAATAGGACACTCCCCTTGAAATTTTTCTTTCCAGGGCCTCAGTATCACTACACTGTCTTAATTTTCTTTCTAACTCTCTGCTCTAATTCTGCCTTCTTTTCCTCAGCATCTTCCCCCACCCCACCAAAACCACTCTAAATGTTCACTACCCCAGATTCTGTCTCCCTCGTCTCATTACCCTTTATACAGAGAATTCCCAAATTGCCATTTCTAGCCTCACTTCTCTATCATACTCAATACCTACATTTATAGCAACCTACTGTGTTAGATTTCCCAGATATTTGGCCAAGACACAAGTTCAAGGTTTCCAAAAACAAAGCTGACTTCCCATTCCAGCTTGCTGCTTTCTCTCTCTGCCAATAACACCTCCATTTATCCTCCCAGTCACTAAATCTCAAAGCTCAGGTAACTTCATCCTCCTTAAAACCTCAGGTGACCTCATCCTTATACATTACCTTTGTATTTAAGCCACTCCCATGAACCCCAATTTCAGTCATTTAGAAATACTAGAGATTACATCTCTGCAACACTATCTTCTATCTTTTGCTTCTTTCCCATTAACTTGACTTCTCCCCAGGTTCAGACCCCACATTCCTGAGTTAGGTGGCTTTGGATGAGTCCCTAAACCTCTGGGCCTCATTTTCCTCATCAGTAAAATTGGAATGATTAACAGTTTCTACCTTGGAAGGCTGTCATGAGCATTAAAATGAGGTAATACATGTAAAGTGCGTGACACACAGTTAAGTACTCAATAAATACTAGCAGCTTTATCACCATTCCCACCCCATTTCAGGCTCTCATGATACGGCAGCTGGACTCCTGCAAAACCTTTCCACCCACTGCCATCGCAACCTTCACACATGCCTAAGAGTCAGAACTTACATGGGATTCTGACAACAAACCCTGTTGGAATACACAAAGAAATGTAACAACATGTACTTATACTGGCAAATAATTTCCTACCACTACACTAAAGGGTATGAAAGGGAGAATGATAGTTGATAAAGTTGAAATGATAAATAGACACTAGAAGTGAGTCTTAAATTCCATGTTAAGAACTCCAAATTCAAGAATTCAGAAAGAGCATCATAAGAGGTTTTACACCCACCACTTTCCCCGAAAGATTTAAGGGAGCGGAATATTTAAAACAAACTCAGCAATATTATTGCTTAAATAGAGTAAGCTGTTCAAATGCAGTAGGAGAGACAGCACAGTTTAACTCCCTCTCTTCTGCAATTTGCTTAGAGTATTTATTGATTAAAATTCATCTAAACAAACTTACTCTGCATTCTTCCACAAAATAAATTATTAAGACTTGGGTTATTTGGAATATTTTGTAATGTAGAAAAGAATATGATTCAAAGCCTCTGACACAAGACCAAATTAAGTAAATATTCCATCTACTTTCTAGTTACTATAATGCTAGTGATTTTTTTACATTCAGTAACTTCATTCTATGCTCCTAATTCATTTCTATCATCTTAAATGACTTTTCCAACATATGGTTCTAAAAGTGACTACTTTTTAATATGTCAAAAGTTTAAAAGTTTCTCATGGAAAAAGAGTAAATCAGTGCCTGAACACTTCATAGGTCACTGCTAAAGTGGTTTTAGCAAATCATAACTTAAAGTTGGGCAAATTTTTTGAATGTTAACTGAGTGCCATTAGGTAATAGCTTTGGATATTACCATTAATTGCATAACAGTGTCTGCTGTAAATCAAGAATATTTACACCCCAAAAAAGAGAAACCTTACTTTTTTTCTAATCACTCCATATAAACTTATACTTTGAAAGACTGTTGATTAAACATAACATGTATGAACATATTAATAATGTATATTAATTTCTTGTTACTATGTCACTCTTACAATCTTCTAAATTTTTCATTCTACTTTAAATATGATCTTTTTATCCATTCCAACTGTTGCCAAGGCAAATGTAACTAAGTACCAACAATACTCATCTAAACCATCTGAGAGTGTGTTAAGATCTGCCCACTCTTTAAAGAAAAAAAATATATAAAGCCTTCTACATGTACTATGTGCACATTTTTCACACATGCAGATAAAAGGATTACTCTGCAGAGTGGTGTAAAGAGCAGACTTCAGAGTCAGCAAGACCTGAGTTGGCATGCAGAAGCCACCACTTGCCAGATGTTTAATCTCAAGCAAATTATTATCTCTGAAACTGTTCCCTCATCTGCAAAATGAGAACAATATCTATCTAGAGGGTTGCCATAGGACTAAATGAAGCAATGTGTTTGAAGTACTGGGTACATAACAGGGATGCCCTGCCCCCACCAATGCCATACCCTTTGGAGTTAGGCAGCAAATTAAAACTCATCTCTGCCCTTACTGAAGGGGCTAGAGTAGGAAAATTGTTTAGGTTCTCTATGCACTGGCCTCTCCATTTTTTTTTAATGAGGAACACACTACCTAGATCACAGAGTTGCTATGAATTCCAAATATACAACTTAATGCAAAGCATCTAGCACAGTGCCTGGCACACAATAGATTCCACTGATAATAGATTCCATTCATTTATTTTCTTCAATTTCTCCCTTTCCCTTTTCTTCAAGTGTGTTCAAATGTGTTCCTCAAGTGGTACAGAATCTAGCAAACCTGCCTGACATATATCCAGAAAGTAGGCCATTTTCTGATTAGTACCTTTGTGAATCCAGGGCAACATTTTGACGTCTGTACTCTAAGTATGCCCTCAGTCTCAGAAGGAAAGAAAATATTTTTGTTAGTCCTGCTGTCTTCCATTTTGCACACATTGCTTTTCCACACTGGTCACACTATAATTTCCCTCTTTCCATCTTTTTTGAATACTTAAAATAGCTTTCATTTCTCCTCCAAATGGATATTAATTTCAGTATGTTGCTTATGTTAAAACAAAACACAGCTATATTTCTCACTGCTCATCAGTAGTGCCAGAAAATAAAATTACACTAACACGTTGTGCTTCCTATGTTACTCTACACATTTTAGTTCCAAAGAAATCTTCAAAATTTAAATTGTTTCAAAATGACTTTAAGTTATATTTATTCCTGATGGCAGTTTTCAAACCTTTAACCCCTTTTTACTTCCATATCAAAGCATGAGAATTTAAATAAAGTGAATTGTCATAAACATAAAATCATGTTAATATGAAGTTTCCCTCAAAACTAACTCAGTTTTTCAAACACAGAGATCCATTTGCTAGTTAACTAAAATGTGCAGCCCTGAAAACATTCAGCTGTGTATTTTTAAGCATTAAGAATGAATTAAGCCCTTAACCCACATATTTTCACAGTTCTAAAAGTGGAAATAAGCCATCCTCCCTCCAACAAAACACCAAACAAAACAAAACAAAACAAAATTTTAAAAAACCTTATATTTAGCAGCTGGAGAAAAGTCTGTAAATACCAAGTAAGTTTTCAACAATATCTTACATATCCAGCATTTGTTAGCTAGGGCACAGAAATCTATCAAAATGATTCTTAAAGTTAGATGACATTACCCCAGCAGGACCTTCAGATGAAAAGCTCTCTGATTTTTCCGGTGTTCCACAACATGGGCTTCTAAAGCAACAGCTAAGGAATTACAACAGGAGGCCCTTTTCCTGTTATTTTGCAAAGACTGGGTAACAGGAGAGAGTTTAATTGCTACTGCACTATACAAATTATGTCAACAGCACATGCCCTCAAAAACTCTTCTTTTAAAAAAAAACTCCCACAGTAGGGTGTGTTTGTTTCTCTTACTTTAAGAAGCCAAAACACGTTTGGAAAAAGAGGAGTATGTCTCACTGACAATATGAAATGAAAATAACACCCTACCATCAGCAAGCAAAATATACAACTGGTTTAACAGAGCCTGAAAGGTGTATGGGAATGATACCGGCCTGAAGAATAACAACAACAACATGGGCCGCCTTATATTCTATGGAGCCTGAACAGCAGCCATCGTTACAAATGTCAAGATCAATACAGTGCTATGTGCCGCCCACCTTCTTCTAATAATACAGAAACCAAGTCAAACCTCTTGGTGGTGAAATCACAGTCGGGACTGAGGGGGAAAACGCATGCGGCACACCGAGGGGACCACCACAAATCAAAATCACCCTACGCAAAAACATGACAAAAGAGCTCACCGAAAAAACAAAACAAAACACTTTTGCTCTCCTTAATGAAAGAAGGCTGGCCAAACCCCACCTGACCATTCGAGGGCCCTTGATTCGAGACCGACAAACCTGCTTTACTTGCCCTCCCCGGCGTCCCTCCCTGCTCTCCCGCCACCTCCCTGGACCCCCTCGGGAAGCCACGCACGGAGGGGGATCCGAGGACCGGGACGCGTACATCCCACGGGGCGGGGCACGGGGGGAGGGAAGCGGCCACCTACCCGTCCCAAAGGCTTTGGCCACCAGCCAGGCCAGATTGCAGGCGATCTTGGCCCTGGAGAAATCATAGTGGTCGAAGGGCTTGATGGCTGGAACAATGAACGTCTTCCTCGCCTCCCTGGGGTCGGCTGCATCCCCCATCGTTCCCGGCGGCGCCTCGGACGGCCGGCCCTGCCCTTCACATGGTGCGGCCTCGCCGCCGCGGGGCCTGGGAGGGCCGGGGCGAGGCCCGCCGGGGCGGCGGCGCGGGAGCAGCTCAGCTGCGCGCGCCGCGGGCCGCCCGCCTCCCGCCGGGGCCGCCGCCTCCCCCGGGCATAGGAATGCGGCGGCGCCGCGGCCGCCCGGCCGTCCGCCCCTCGCCGGCGCCCTCCGAGCCGCCCGCCCCGCGAGCGCGCGTGCGAGCGCGGCCGCCTCCCCTTTGTCTGCGTTCAGTCAGCCGGGCCCGGGAGGGTGGGGGCTGAAGGGCCCGGAATTGCAGGGGGGGCAACAATCACGTTGTGGAAAATGTCCCCGCCATCGGGAGGCCGCCTCCCCCGCCCGGCCCCGGCGCGGGCGCCCCTCAGGCCCCGGTGGGTGGAGGGACGCGCGGGGCGCGGGGCCTCCCCCCGGCGCGGCGCCGCCCGGGGCCGCCGAGCTCGGAGCCCAGGAAAACGTCAGAATCACTGCGGCTCCCAGGCCGCCGCCGCCGCCGCCCGGGCTTCCTCCCTGCGGACAGCCGGAGCGGTGGTCGGCGAGAGCCGTGAATCCGGGCTCCCGGCTCGCGCCGTGTCACTTCTGCCCTCGTATTTCCTCCCCTTTCGCCGCCGGCTCGGTCGCTCCCCGTCAGCCGCCGCCGCTGCGGTTTTCCGGCTGCGGCACTGGATGGAGACAGCCGATGCGGGCACTGAGCATGCGCCCCGGCGCCCTCCGGCCCCGCCCCCGCCCCCCGCCGCCGGGCCGCCGCCGTGGGCCCACTGCACATGCGCGGCTCGCGCCCTCCGCGCCGGGCCGCAGCGGCCGCCCTTCAGCCGTGGTGGACTGGGCGCGCTCGGCAGAGTGGGCGTCCTCCGCCCCGCCGGCGTCGGGCGGCAGCGGCTCACGCAACTGATGGAGCAAAGCGAAGGACGGGGCAGAGGCCTGCAGTAGCTTTCACGAGCTGGCCACGCCGTGGTTGAGAGGACCGGTGTTGACAGAAATGCTTGCGATGCGACACGCACACTACTGCGAACTCGACGTGCACAACCCTCTTCACAACTCGCAGTAACCCGAAGGTTTGGATAATAGTTTGCAAAGCACATTCATGTGACAACTACCACAACTCTCACATCCATTCTGTGAAATAGGCATTACTATTATTTTCCAAATCTAAATGCAGTACTGAAGGTCATAGATTTAAGTTGCATTGCCGAGATTTCATTGTTATTTCATGTCTGAGTCTGATTTCAAAAACAAGATCCTCAGGTTATCGCAGGATACGCCTGAAATTACAGGGGTGAAATGCGTTAAGTCGTACATGGGCTTAATCAGCGTTAAGGCACAGCTCCAAGCTGTGTTTATTTCCCAATATCAAGATGCTTTTGCGTTGGCTGCATGCTGTCCACCTAAACGTCCCCTCTAGGCGAGAAGCGCATCCACCAGTGCCTCCCCGTCCCATCCAAATGAAGCGTAAGTTCTTCCACAAAGCAAGCTGACACCCGCCATCATCATGGGGCATCTGCAAACCTCTGGCTTCATTCTGTCAGAGCCGCTGTCCGCTCTTCCCAGGGTCCTGCGTTCCCCGAGCTCAGCACCCTTACCCACTGTACTCCCCCTGTCCTCCTGGCTACTCGGCCGTCGGCCGCTTCACAGTTCCCACTTCCTCCAGGAAGCCTTCCCTGACAGCTCTGACACCCTCCCAGTCGGGGCTGTCGCATGGGTGCCTCCCTACTGTTTGCAGAGCGTCCTGTCCTTATTTCTGTCAAGGCACTTGCCACACTGTATCATCAATCACTCGTCTGTCTTTCCCACTGACTACAGGGTGTGTCCCCGACACCTGTGAACTGCTCCCCTCCTAACAGTTGCTCAATAATGTTGAGGGACTAAGGATGGATATTATCATACTTAATGCTTATTGAGCTCATTTAACTCACTAGCTCCTCACAATATCTCATCTTAATATGTGAGCTCATTATAATCATTGTAAAATCCTGTATTATCTTCATTTTACAGATGAGAAAACTAAAGCTCAGAAAACTTTAAGAATTACCCCATATCACACAACTAGTAAACTGGCAGACCTAAGATTTGAACCCAGGACTGTCTAAATCAGAAGCCTATGTTTTAACTACTAGAGCCTCCCCCCGGTATCACTTGCCCCTAAATAGAAACAAGGCATATGAAGCATGAGCAAGAGGCTTAGGACTGCCTGAAAGGTAACTCCACCCGCATAAGGTTCCTTTGATCCTGTTTAATCCCTACAAATACTTCACCCTGAACATAGTGGGCCACTCAGATAAGCCTTACTAACAGTGTGGGCAGGAAAAGAATGTGAGAAGAATAATATACGACAGGGTGGTTGACGTCATCCTTCAATAGTTTAATGAATATTAATAAAGTGTTTCTCATGGACAAGGAAGGCCCTTTGCTAGATCACACAGAGGATAATAAAATAACATATGGATAATAGTTTGCAAAGCACATTCATGTGATAACTACCACAACTCTCACATCCATTCTGTGAAATAGGCATTACTATTATTTTCCAAATCTAAATGCAGTACTGAAGGTCATAGATTTAAGATGCATTGCCGAGATTTCATTGTTGATTCATATCTGACTCTGGTTTCAAAAACAAGCACAAGCTTCTGGCCCTACTCTTTTCCCTGTGCCTGTTCCCTCTCCAAATTATAGAGGTGGACATGCACATAAATATCATACAGTGTGGAAGAAGCGAGCTCTATAAGAGGTATGATGTGGAGAGAAAAGATCCAGCGGAGAGAGCGGGAAAGTTTCTTAGAGACTTCCGGTGTACTCAAATCCACCTTCAACTGAATTCTAGAGCAACAAGTCAGATTAAGGAAAATGTACAGCCTGGAAAGGTGGGAGAGAGATACTGAAACATCTCACCCATCAGTACAATAATCTGTAAGCCAATACAAGATTCTCGAGGCCAGGGATGGCACGGAACCTTGACGCTCTGTTACGGGGTCCAGCGTGGTGCTTTGCGCACAAGGAGTGCTGAGCAAATGCTCGTTGACTTTCATTGAAAGCTATTTCAACCTAAAACATGATGAAGAGAAGGCAACAAAGAGAGTTGCTCTGACTTGTCCTTTAATTCAGTGGTGATGCATTTAGTGGCAACAGCATTACCATGATCTGGGTTGGGGAGGAGTGTGTTTAGGAACGGGGAAAAGTGCCTACACAAAGAGCAGCTTTTACTTTCAGAGAGGCGATAAAACTTGGGGTCACAGTAGGAGGGTATTAGTACCAGAGAAACGCCCTGAGGACAAAGAGGAAGGATTCATTTTCAGGGAGACAGACACTCTAATAGGGTATTCTTTGTGACACCTTTAAAATGCTCCCTTTTAAAAAGTGGAAATCTCTGCAGAATACCACTATACAAAAGAAATGCCCTCCATTGCTTTCTTAAGATACCTGACTTTGTTAAAAAACAAAACAAAGCCCGGTGATTCTTTGGGCCAGCTCGTCCCACTACAAAGCCATCACTATCTTCTGTCTCTCCGGGCTTAGAATCTATCCATCAAGGAACAGTTACACTATGTCTACATATATAATCCTTCTTCTACTTTAAAGGTTTCTCTCCTTTTCCTAGAAAATCCACAGTATCAGCCAGACTTCCTTCCTTGCGGCCATCCTCTATTTCTCTGTCTTTGCATACATTCATAAATGTATTCATTCATTCATTATTGAGTTATTCAACATTGATTCATTCAATATTGATTGAGCACCTGGGTGCTGGGGACGCATTGTTGAACAAGACAGCTGCGGAAGCAAATCTGTAATGCGGATTTAGAGATCCTGGGGCCCGACCGCCCAGCTCTCCACTGCCATGCCCCTGCCTCCACAGGCTGGGGGCCTTGTTACTTCACCTGTAGAAATCCTCAGCTTCCCCTCAGAAACAAAGAAACACTAAATCATTGAGTACTACCATAAGATCTCAAGTTATTTTGTTTTATTTTATTAATTATTATTATTTTTAATTAAGGTATCATTGATATACAATCTTATGAAGGTTTCACACGAGCAGCATTGTGGTACAACATTCACCCATATTACCAAGTCCCCCCCACACACACCCCATTGTAATCATTGTCCATCAGTGTAGTAGATGCTATGGAGTGACTGTAATGGGGTATGTGGTGGGGACTTGATGATGGGGGAAGCCTAGTAAGCATAATGTTGCTCATGTAATTGCAGGTTAATGATACCAAAATTTTAAAAAAGATGCTATGGAGTTACTACTTGTCTTCATATTTTTTTAAATTGAATGTGTATGTGTGTGTGTGTGTGTGTGTGTGTGTATACACACTATCATCCACTTCAGTTACACTAATAGTAACTAACACTTACTATGACCTCCTGTGTATCAGACCCTGGTCTACCTACATTAATTTATTAAATCCTCACCAGAACCCTATTATCCGCATTTGGCAAGTGTAGAGACCAAGGTACAGAGGACTAAAGGGGCGAAGACCTTACGTTATTTTGAAACTCAAGGAACTAGAATAAGTAAACGGTGAATCAACCAAGTTAGGAATGGGTGGGGGGAGGCATGAAGGTGGGTGGGAAATGCTTAGTTAACTGATGTCAAGCTGTTGAGTTGGCTGAAGTGTAGCAGCGTCTGATACGCCGATACAGGATGTAAGAGTCTGTGCTGCTCGTCTGGCACTCTGTCACTCTAGACACAGTTGCAGCTTTCATCTGAAGAGTTCACAGAATTTTATGAGGATTACCTCACAGCCTTCACAACAATTCCAGCAAGGCCTGTGTGGTACAATGTCAAATTGTGTCTGGACCAACAGAAACATGGGGAGGCCACATCACTTCCCAGAGTTACACTGTGAGTCAGCGTCCTAACCAAAAGTGACTCCCGTCCCTCAGATTCCCAGGTACGCACGGCATCTTCCCAGATTCCTAAAACACTTTTCCTTTCTTAGGTCCCCCCCCAAAACAAAAGCCCTGAGTTTCCAATAACGGGCACAGCTCCCGCCATTTATAACATTAAAGGCAAGCAAGGATGTTGGGAGGTAACAGAAAGAGCCCTGGCCTGGGGAGGACCCTGGGCCCAGCAGGTTCTG